CTCGCTCTCTCTCTCTCTCGCTCTCTCTCTCTCTAATTTATTAATGTCGAAATGGCGTCACACCGTTGAGTTTTCTGAACTCAACAACGGTAGGCAGGACCAGACCCCTGGACTTCGTGGTTAGAGGTTTAAAAAAAAGAAAGCGTCGGGATTCAACTCGAATTCAACGGGATTCAACGGGAATTCAACGGGATTCAACGGGATTCAACAGGATGAATTTTTTTTTTTGCGCCACGCGCACTCCGCGACGTGTCCGAGGCCCGATGCGCCCTCCCCATTGAACAATATTCAACGGGGAGGGCCCGTTGTATTCAACGGGGATTCAATTGGGGCCCAAGGGCTATTCAACGGGTACAACGAAGTTGAAACTTTTCCGTTGCATATTGAAAATGTACACATAGGCCGGGACCACGGCCTCTTGGGGTGAAAGGGCGGGTCGGGATACTTGCGCCTACATTACCATAAGCGCATTCTCTACCCTTTCTATCTTATTATCGACTCTGTGCACTCGCTCGTGCAGGCTTTCTGTCCCTTTCTTCACCTTGTCTCCCGTTTTCCCGGTCAGATCTATGACCTCGCCTTCCTTAAGTAGGGCTAGCGTCTCAGTTACCACTGTTTTCTCTGCGAGGTCTGTCACCGTGCTGAAGTCAACATCCCTTGTGTACTCGAACTTGTTGGTCTGTTGGTAAGCTGACAAAATTTTGTCCTTGTCGAATTCGGAGAATTGTCTGAGGAAATACTTGCTCATGATTCGATCTGTCACCCCGGGAATCCGTAGTGCCACTAAGGTGAATGCCCTCAAGAAGTCATTGTACGTTGCATAGTTCTTCCTCTGGACAGCTGCCAGTTCGGCCTCCGTTGTCATTTTTTCCGCCTTTAGGTATTTTCTCATCATTTCGTTTCGATTTTCTTTCCAGGATCCATTGGTGGCGACGATGACCATTATGTCTCTCCCTAGGCTCAGCGACACTTGCTGCCCTAGGTGATCCATCTTCTCTTCCTCAGTCCATTTCAGCAGGGCAGCTAAATTCTCGTAGTCTATCAGGAATTCCGTAATGTTTGCCCCGTCGAATGTTAGTTTCTTCTTGGCATCTGCGAGGTACCCCTGATTTTTGTTCAATGCTCGCGTGAGAGTGGATACTATTTTTCTGAGACCACCTTCGGAACCGCCTGCTTTCCCAGCCGTACTGATCCCTTCTCTTTCTTTGCCAGCCTTCTGTTTTTCTTCGATATTTGTCGTTCCTTCCGGATCGAACCATCCTAGCACCCTTTCTCTGAGGCTCCAATGCCCATCAGACCCCTTCGTTATTTTTGGTGTGGTTGGCAACCTGCTAGTTCCACTGTCTATGGCAGGCAGATTGGTAATTTTCCCTGCTTCTATATCCGGAAAATCTCCCTTCTCCTTCCCCGGGCCCTCTCTTACTCGGTGTCCCCTTGTGGCTACTATCCTTTCCTACATGCCCAATCTCGCCTTGATTGGTCCTCCGCTCCTCGCGTAGTTCCTCCCTCGGAAGGGTCCGTTTACCCCCGACCATCATCTCCTCGATTAGCTTCGCCTTGTATTCCGCGGTTCAATTTTCTATTTCTGCCAACTTACGTCGTGCGTCTGCGACTTTTGCTTTCTTGGGTGTGACCCTATCTTAGTTCCGTAGCCCCGATCTGTCCTTGTCCCTACCCTCCTTGTTTTCCTGGGATCCTCGTTTATTCCCCCCCGCTTTTCTGGAACTTTCTCCTGTCGAGAGATCCTTCTCGCCCTGTTTGGTTCCTTCGGGGTTAGCCGACTCTCGATCCCTTATGGACCCTTCGTTTCGTTCTTCGTTTCTTTCCGTACCCTGACTCCCCTTGCTCCACAAATTCTCAATTTCTTCTTCCGTCGCCATCCTTTCCTAGCCTGCCCATGAAAAAAAAGATTTTCGAAGACGGCCGGTTGCTCACTGCCTTCCGGGTTCCCCGTCCCTAGGATCCTCCTCATCCTTATCGTTTTCTTATTCCCTGCCTTATATATATATATATATATCACAACGGCCTGTCTTTCTTTTCTCAACTTGCGAGGTACCGCCTTTCTTTTCCTGCTGAGGAGCCTGCCTCCGAGGTCCGGCGTTTTGTCACCGTCGTGGCCCTTGGTTCCAAGGTGGTAACCATGGGAGGCGGGCTCTTCTTGTGAGAGCGGCCCTTTCGCCTTCCCGGCTTTTGGATACCTTTGGTGCCCTTGGTGGCAGCGGTCATCCTAGTCCTTTCCTGGCACACCTTTAGACAGAATAGGACTCCAACCGTCTTCCTTAGCAGGTGGCTATTCCCGCTCTTTGTTATTATTATTTTCTTCACGACTGGGATTTACCCTTGCTATCTTCCCCGGCTTTTCTTCTCACACCGGTCCTTCAGGCCTTCCCTGTTCGTCAGGTTCTTCGAACAGATTGGCCACCCCCGCAAGGTAATTTTCTCCCATTTCTATTTCCCGGATGATTATCGGCTCATATTCCTCAAAGGTCAAGCGCGGCGTCCCAAAAATCAAGATCTTGACGAGTTCGAGTAGTTCACGAGCCCGATTTCCCCAAAACGGCCCGTGTCTCGCCGACACATTGTAAAACATATTTGTCGTTTGAGGTTGGAAGTGGTGGATCCAGGTTAGGGTCGAGTTCACCAAATCCCTCGCCCTCGCAAGACTGCCGAATACCAAATCGATCATAAAGCGGGGTACTTGGCACCGCAATCCCACCATCGGGGCTCTAAACTCTTGCCATCCCCCTACTTCCACCCGAGTCCTTAGCCCTACATTTCTCCTTCCCCTAACCTCTTGGCCTATCCGGTTTAGTACCCTGGCCGCCCTCCGAAAAATCGGCAGTAACCCGTGCTCAGTGCTATCTCGGCTCCTAGCATATGCCATCCAATTTCCGGCAAATACATAGTCCCTGTCACCCTCTAATCTGTGTATAAATCGTCTCCCGGTCCCCTGTGGAATCTCATGCCGCTCCATAAGCATTCTACCATCATGAATGTTTGGTCCCTCCCCAAGGTCACCGCTCTCCATTCTGTGTCAAGTCCTCGTAGCACGTAGCTTGCCGGAAGCGACACTTCCCGTCCGCTTCTGCTTCTTGTGGGTAGTCGTGGGTGCGTGGGTCGTCGTGACACCCGAGCGCGTTTCGTCGCCATTGTTGACTCATGGTTTCCTGCACAATTTGAACAGAGAGTCCTGCGTATTTCATACGCTCTTCCGAATCTTGCTAACCAACTTCCTGTTTCTTGTCCTGCTTCCTTTATCTTCCTCGTTTTTCTTTTTTCCTTCTTTCTATTAGTCTGCTCCAGCTTCCGGTAACAAGTACAGGCGGTACAGGTCGTTTACGTAGACCAGTCCCCGGTTTATCTCTCTCCTGATGACACCCCATATGACGCCATCATCAACAACTGGACCCTAGGCCTCGTGGTGAGTGTTGCGCGCAGTATTTGCAGCACTTCGTACCTTTGCTCTCCATCGAATGACCCTATCTCCAAGAAGACTCGGTAATATTCTCGGTGGACCGTCGCTTCTTCAAACGCCAGG